CGATGTATAACGACAACACGTATACGTGAGAATTACCACTGGATTCGGCAACCAAAAAAATTACCGTCAAAAGAAACGACAAAAAAAAAACGAAACAAGATCAAGAACGCTTGAAAAATTCGGATTTCACCGACACCCGTAAACTGGCGTCGAAAAAAGAAAAACACAAGAAAAAATTATCAAGCTTGCCCGTCCACTCCACCAGTTCCAATCGTGAAGATGAAGCGCGCCCTCGATCGTCCACAAGTCGATCCTGCCGATCCCGATCTCCATCGTCCCTTCCCGGCTTATGAAATGCGCGCGGCGACTCTCCACGCGACTTTGATGACACCGCCATATCGCTGTGCCCCACCCCAAATGCCCACCTCCGGCTGATGGCTGCGCGCCACCTCCGCGCGACGAAAAATGCTGCCCCTCCCCGCTCCAACGACGAGGCAGAACAGCCATGGCCCGTCCGTCCGTGCTGGGTTGCGCGCCATCTCCGCGCGACTTCAAGTGCTACCCCCCCGGCTCCAAACGGCAAGGCAGGACAGCCACGGCCCCTCCGTCCGTGCTGTGGTTGAAAAATGCCGCCCGCTTCACGCGTGATGCGGCACCCACCCCCCGACGCGCCGTCGCGCGTGTCAACCGTGGTAGGGCGTGCACGGCCACTCTGCCGTGCCTGTGATCAACTTAGAGAAAACACCGCCCGCGTCAAGCGAGTGCGGCGCCCACCCCCCACACGCCGTCGCGCGGTCAATCCATGGTAGGGTGTCTCCGGCTATTCTGCCCAACGGTCACTCTACCGCCCCCGCTTTCCACCGCCTCCTATCCCGCAGATAGAATGCGCACCGTCAATTGTGCGACTTTCATGGCCCCTCTGTCCATGCTGTGCTTGCGCGCCACCTCCGCGCGACTTCGTCCGGCCCCCCCACCGCAAATCAGCGGCGCTGAGGGCCTACGGCCAACCTACCGTACCGTAATAGCAACACCACCTGTCCACCCTAGAAACTTTCAGTTACCACTTCCTGCACCTTTGCTTCCTTCTCGTCTTCGGTCAGCTTCTCCCAACTAGGATCCATCTTGCACAGTTCCTCCGCGCGGTCGTACTGCTCTTCGAAACTCACCACCGCGAAGTTGGCATGCTCCACTACCGCCATGCACGCTTCCTCCGTGGGTGTCGCACACTTCTCGCTGTTGTGCCCAAAGCCCGAACACGTGTCGCACTGCTCCAGGAAGTCCTCCTCCTTCGTGGTGCAGTCGGGCTTCCTATGCCCGCGGTGGTTGCACCGGAAACACCTCCGGTGGTCGACCCGGTCGTCCGTCCCCGCCTTCTTCTTGCTGCCACGGCCGTTGCTCTTACTGCCGCGGCCGCCGCCAGCCTGCCGCCCCTTCCCGGTGCCGTCACCCGCAATGTACGCCTGCTCCCCCCCGGATCCTTTTTCTCCTTCCTTCCTCCATTCCTCGGTGAGAAGGTTAAATCGGGTTGAGAGCTGTTGTACAAGGATATCCCTCGTCAGCGGTTGGACCACCGACAAGGTTTGCTTGGTGACTTCGTATTCGGGGTTGGGCAGCGAATCGATAAGTCGGGCGAACACGAACTGGTCGTTTACCGTGGCTCCGCCCCCTTGCTGCATCATGATGGCCATACCCATGAGCTTGTTCAAACTGGCGACGGGGTTCTCCTTCCGAGGAGTCTGGTACTGCTGGAACTCTCTGAAAAGCTGCTGCTGTGCACCCTGTGTCTCCGGCAGGTATGCCGCATCTAGTTGCCGCAGGGCTTCCCTTGGGTTCGTGCAACGACGGAGGATGGCTTTGTCCGTCTCAGTAGTCAACGCGGCAGAGAGGAAATTCCACGCCAGATACGTCTTGCGGATTGCTGCATACGAAAACCCCTGCTCGAGAAGGGCGGTCTGTGGCTTGTTGATGTCCGGCAGCACCCCGCCGCCGGAGAACACATCGCCTATGTCGAGAATGCCTGCCTGCACGATCATATCCTGCCTCCACCCCGGGTACTGCTCGGCCCCTTTTTTGAGCTGTGGTGGGTTTACGTGGGACGCGGCGAGTTTCGAAATTCCGCCGCCTCCCGTGAAAAGACCCTCACCAGCGACATCACCGCTGACGAAAACACCACCAACGCCACCGCCGGTTGCGGCTGCCTCACCTTGGGAGCCATAT